TCGGTGTGACACAACTAATTTTAGATGAAAGTCTGCGACGACCATATAGTGATCAGACCCAGTCTATGCTTGAGGCCAGTCTTCAGTAACGAGACTTGCATCATTTGCCGCTGACGAGTACGTTTTTCAGCTACTGTATGTTTACTCTTTGACCATTAAAAGTTTTGATTGTTTATGAAGAATAATGTTATAATGTTATTTGTTTTGAATTCGCTGACGAAGGAAAGGGTCCTACGAACGATTAGCTGTTTGTCTCACAGAAAGGTAGCTAGTTACTATCATTATCATCTGCGCTGTCAATTCCGTGCGCCTGACCCCGCACTGTGGCCGGTATTGTTTTTCGTTCATATTTCCTCTTGTAATTGTGACGTGATGATGCGATAAATGATTTATAGATGACTGCAAGCATTCACAAAAAGCCTCGTTATCATGGCACATTCGTCAGGGCATGGACTAAAACAACGTTCAGCGTTACCTACTTGATATTTATGCTCTGATAATGATTGTCGCCGATACCTTTTGTACAGAATGGACCGGGCTCCCTAGCTACGGGTACAAGAGGATATCCGTAATATCCGTACCGGCTTGTTGTAATCTGTTTTCACCTGTTAAAGTAAATAACTACTCATTCTTAAAGTTAAACGTCCCTTCCCCTGGAAGCGAGGTTCAGTGTCCCGCCAGTACATTGCATTTGTGCCAATTGGACATATGACAGACATGTAATATACCTTCGCCAGACAACGAACCAACGTTCCAATATGCAACGTCCGGGACTTACCTCCCTGTCTATACCTCTATTAAAATGTATTAGTTCCTTAGTTTTATGATAAGTTATGAAAGAGAAACGATTGCTGTGCAACTCATTTCCGCACGAAAGCAATAAATTTTTTTAGCATTCGCAATGAAATCAACCCAACAACTGGACGACCGACAACACAATGTAATCAGTTCCATTTTTGCTGCTGTCTTTACTTAGGCTGTTTTACAATTATTTGCCTTGTTAAAGGGCTGTTGCATTGGTTTCTGGTTAACTTCGATGTCCGGCTTGATGTTTTACAGCAGTCTTAGCGATAATGACAAAATTATCATAATCGGTATTTAATCCATCGCTGATGCTCATTTAAAAGTTTATTAAACAGCTTTCCGTCTCTCTACCTGTTCCTGTCTCATCTGCGATATCAGTCTTGCTGATTTGTGCTGCTAATTCTCTGAAATTCTGACATCAAGCCTCACTTTTCGCCTATCTCGCTCTAATAACACAACAGCAACGACAAGTGGCGACAAAGGATCATGGGAACGTCATAGCACTTCGTGGTCTACAGGTGACCAAAACGGTAGACGATATGGAAAGAAATTTTGAAAGGCTTAGGAAAGTGACTGAACAAAAACTGTAACTAGCTGTAGAGCAACGTAAACATTCTTTCTTCTGTCACTTCTCCAAATTTACACAGGCCTTTTACTGTAGTTGCCTAATGGACTGTTTAAGCATGTCCCGTT